TGGTGTTGGAAGGCCCAAAAGGTCCACTCACACGTCCGCAGCAAACTATAAAATCTCGGCCACATAGCCAAGGTCAATACCCTCTTTCCCCAATCTCTCTCCATCGTTAATTACCCTAGTTTCCCTGAAATATTTTTCTGTATGCTGTAATTCTCAGCATGACGAATCTAAGCCGAATGTTGCAACTTGCGTGGACACGTTTGCAGATCAACAATGTTTGGTACCATATCCGTGGATGTAGAATGTCATATAGCATGCTTAATGAACCAATTTTCTCTTCTGTACGAACCAATCCAGTTATGTGTTCTATTTCTAAATGTCTATTGATGCAAGTTCCTGCTCTCCTGTAGGCTACGACCAGTATTCAGGGAATATACTGTATAATGTATGAAACAATTGTACAACGTACGCACATTGATGTCTACACAAAAGTCATGCACTATGTCTCAATACTGTTCATATACGTATTCCCTTGTATTTTTATGACAAAACTCCAATGTAAATGATATATTGGGAAAAAAATAGTTCCTTCAATTCTAGTAAGTTGTGTTAACTGTCAATTGGTCTGTGTTGTGTAGTCAAAGCTACTAAAGAAATGTAGGTAATCCTGCAGGCCACAAGACGCAGTAGACTTTATGAATTCTCTATTTGTTGCGCATAACTGAGATTCTCAAGTTTAGAACCTATTGCCTGGGAACTGAATTGAATTCTTATTAAAGGAACACTCCAAGCAACATAAACACTCAGCCTGTTCAGGGAAATTACCAAGTAGTGTCCTTGAGTTGGTCAAGTTAGTTTAACCTTGAACTTTTACAAGTCCAGGTTTGTGAGGGACCCTAGGACATTTTTTCTCAAGGTCAAGATAGAGCTTTGCATTTTACGGAGATTAACTTGAAATAAATGTTTTCTCAGAAAAAAAAATATAGCTGAAATAAAGCACGCGTTGAAGATATTTTCTTCTTTACATAGTTATTCAAATATCTGTTATTGAGGTTGGACCTTTGTAGACTCTTTAAAATTTTCCAATACCATGGCAATGATATTTGATAAAAAGTTTGTAAACATTTTACAGGATAAGATCTGTTATAGAACTAATGTGGACATAATGGAAATGTAGCCTGTATAATAAACTAAACTATGGTGCTATGTTTGAATACTTATCTTATTTATATTGAAAGTATGGGCAGAACTATGTAAACAGTGTCATCATACATATTCAGCCTTTAGTAAATAGATAAATCATGTTTCACCATAGTCATGATATCTATTGCTTGGTTTGTTAATTGATTACTGTATTACACAGAATAGCAGTTTATTTTAATATAGCTATCCTTCTCCCACCCCCATTTGCTTTTAAAAAATAGTAAGTTAAAGATGATTGCTTATGTCCAAATGCGGCACTCCTCTAATTATATGCTGCTATCAGGAAGACAGCCACTTGAGGTATATTTAATCCTACATTGTAAACATTTCAGTTTCTAGAAAGTTGCTATGTATTACATTGCAGCGTTAAAATAACAGTCAGATATTTTGCATATCCTGTCACCAAGGATGCTGTAACGGAGCTCCCGGTACCCCGGCTGGGTACCTCCGCTAAGGACCGCTTCCTAGCTGGAACAAGGGGAAAAAATGCAGAGCTTCTGCCCCCCGTAGTCGTGGCTTTACTGGAACCTCTCCGTCCTGGAGCAGAATAGGGGACTAGCTCTATTCACTCTCAGGGACTGGATGACACTCAGTCCTGGGAGCCAGGGTCGGACTGGGGATTCCAAAACAGTCCTGGAAAAAAAATCTATGCCAGCCCCATAAGTCATTGCGCCATATATTGTCACATGTAATATGTAAGGCTATGTCTTGCCACCCTAGATGATTGAGATATATATATATATATCTTTTTCCAATATAAAATATTGGTCCTTTCAGAGTAAAATCTTTAATTATACAGTAAGCATACTCACATGCAGACACAGACAATCTCACTGACACAAGCTGATTGATACACATACTCATAGACAAACAATCTCACTGATATACATAAGGTCATTAAAATAAAAACACAAGCTCACTCAGTAGCAGGCACACACACACACACACACACAAGCAAGCGCACTCACTAGCAGGCGCGCACACACACACACAGCTTAATGTAGTGGCTCTGGTGTCTACAGCCTGTCCCTGCAGGCTTTTCAATGTAAACACTGACTTTTTAGAGAAAAGGCAGTGTTTATATTGCTTCCTAGTGACAGACACTCAGACGGTCACTAGAGGTGCTTCCTGTGTCAGTGCGGATTGGCTGAGATCATCAAGCTTGATGATCTCAGCTGTAGAGGCAGGGCCAGTTGAGGGGAGACCAGCACGACGTGGGGGGGGGGAGGGAAGGTGAGTAAAAACACACATACACACACACATACCATGACAGACACACACCGTGACACAGACAGAAACACAGACACACCATGACAGACAGACACACCATGACACAGACAGACACACACACACCATGACAGAGACACACACATACCATGACAGACACACCTTAAAAAGACACACACACCTTGACACACACACCATAACACAGACCTTGACACAGACACAGACACATACACGACACAGACAGACACAGAGAGATCGTGACACAGACACACACACACACCGTGACACAGACACACATTACATGACAGAGACAGACACACACCATGACAAACACACACACCATGACACAGACAGACGCACACACCATGACAGTCAGAGACACACACACCATGACACAGACACACATTGCATGACACAGACAGACACACACACACCATGACACAGATGCACACACCATGACAGACAGAGACACACAGACACACACCATGACACAGACGCACACACCATGACAGACAGAGACACACAGACACACACAATGACACAGACAGACACACCATGACACAGATACACCATGACACAGACACACACACACCATGACACAGACACACACACACATACACTCACACTGACACACACAATGTCTACCTGGGGCTGTGGGGAGCTCCCTTGGCGGCCGCAGGGGGAGCTGGCTGTTCTGCCTCTGCTCCCCCTCCCCAGCGCACTGCTTACTGAGACCGGGGCCGGAATATGACGTCATCTTCCGGCCCCGGTCTCTTTCTAGCGCGCTGGGGAGGGGGAGCAGAGGCAGAACAGCCAGCTCCCCCTGCGGCCGCCAAGGGAGCTTCCTCTGCGGCCGCAGGTGAGCCGGCTGTCTGCCCGGCCCCGGGTGCCGACGGCCCACCAGGAAATTTCCCGGTATCCCGGTGGGCCAGTCCGGCCCTGCTGGGAGCTCTAGTCCTTACAAGGACTTTGCCCACTGAATCTTCCACGCTGGAACAGTGATTGGCTCTCTCCCCCCCAGTAACTAGACAACACATAGTTCTGCGAGTACAAACTGGAATGCTTTAATCTGGCCAGATGGCTTGCTTTTATACATTTCAGAGTCACAACAAACCCGCCCAGGACACTCCCACAAACACACCCAAAAAATTTCCCCAAAGTGCAGTGTCACCATGACTCAGCTATAAAACATAAAATATGAAAAACACATCAAAATACATGGTTCTGACTGTGATGGCTTATCAGCAAATAAAGTTGCTGGAATGAATCCTGGAATTCTGTTACTCCCAAATATTCAGGAAACTCAAAGTTTTTTCTCAAATGGATTTACTTCAATAAAGTGCAGAAAACAGGATATAGCCGCAGACAAATAATTAAAAATGTCCAAAGTAAAAGCACAACATGTTTCAACCATATATTTTCCTCAGGTGCATAGTTCTTCATTCCCCATGTTTGTTTAAATAGTAGTTGGGGGTGTTGAATTTTGGCGCCATTTCCGGTTTTAGGGCACTTCCGGTTGTGGGTCACTTCCGGTTTTGGTCACTTCCAGGTTCAATATAGTTCTTAAAGGGATCGGAAGTATTGGCAACCATTTTTCTTTTGGGACACAATACTTGTTGAATGCAATGGTGCCCCCTTACTTAGAGATCGTTGCTGCTTTTATATCTGTACATAAAAGCTAACCATACATTCTTTATTGTAAACATAATAAAAACTAAATAATAATACTATTATATAGTATAAATATATATAAGTTTTGGAGAGGTAGGATAAACAAAATACCATAAAAACCATATAAATATTAAAAAAAATACAAAAAATATATAATATGTTTTGGAATTAATAAAAATAGATATAAGCTCCTACCCAGCATACAGACAGAGTGCATTTAAAAGGATGAAATTAAATTAAAACTAACATTTCAAAATCCAAGTTGAGTCCACTTGGAGACAAGGTGTCTAAGTCAAATATCCACCTCATCTCGCATTTGCTCAAAATTTTTTGGGCTACAAAACAACCACCGTGCTTGAGCCCGAGCAGATGTGCCTTCAAGACAGAGCGGTGACAGACGAATACAGCAACCACATGGCCGCGCTGAACACACCAAAGAAACTCAGAAAACCTCACAAAAGCTTTCTTTGCGAATGCTATGGAAACAATGTCCACAAAACTGATCACTACGTGGCAAACCACAGCAGACCAACTAAAAAATGAAGTCTTAAACCTCACCACCAGAACGAACTGCATGGAAGCGAAGTGTAAAGTGCTTACCACAGCTCAAAAGAAATGGCAGACAACTTACAGGCTTTAGAACACCGGCTCAAGGTATTATCGACGCCCGAAGACAGGGCATGACGAAACAACCTACGCCTCAGGGGGTCCCAGAATCTGTTCTACCAAGAGACCTCCAAGTATATGTAAGGGGCCTCATGCACGCTTATGCCCCGGGAATCCCTGCATACATGCTGCTTGTGGATAGGGTTCACAGGGTCAATAAACCAACTTACCTCCCAGACACAATGACCCGTGACGTCCTCCTCCGAGTCCATTACTTCCACATCTAGGAAATGGTCCTCCGATCCTGCAGGAGCAAACCCAACCCGCACGAAGAGTACCCTGGCGTACGGATCATGGTGGACCTGTCAGCAGCGACACAGCCCAGAAGGCGAGCATTCAACCCAGTCATGACAGACCTACGGAACCTTGGCATCAAACACCAGTGGGGGTACCCAACAAAACTGCTGATCACCAAAGGCGAAGAAACCGTCACCGTCCATACCCCAGAAGAAGGGACAACTCTACTGAACGAATGGGGCCTGAGGACCAAGCGACCTTCGAGTGCTGCTCCATCCCCGCACCGCTCCACTCCTCCTGGCACAGCACAGGCTCATGGACTGCGTCGAAATGCGGCTCCCACCTAAGCCGCAAGTATTGTCTTGCTAATATATGTTGTTAGCCTCTCACAACAATATTATGGCTAATGGGTTGCCCCCCGAATCCACCCACAGGGATGCAGTGTCTGCAGGGCCGGTGCAAGGATTTTTGCCGCCCTAGGCAAAAGTAAAGTTTGCCGCCCCCCCATGTGACATCACAATGCCCAGTCCATATAATCTGCCATGTTAACTAACACCAGTGCTGCAGTGCCGCCGTGTTTACATTAAAAGGCCTGCAGGGACAGGCTAGACACCAGAACCACTACATTAAGCTGCAGTGGTTCTGGGGACTATAGTGTCCGTTTAATGTGAGGTAAATTAGAGATTAGTGCCACGAATAATATACTAGATTGCCTACTGACAACCAGATGAGGATGATGATGGGCTCTAGCTGCCGTCTGGCTCCACTGGTCTGGTGTACAACAGGCTCTCTGGAGGCGGTTTGTAACTGTGGTCACAAAAATCACTGTTCTGGGAGAACAGGAAGCAGCTCCATTTTTTTGAGGGCCCTTTACACAGCTCAAGGTCTGGGTCCCAGGGTCCACCTTTATGTTCCACCAATGAGTTTGTTCACAGGGAGTGGAGTGTGTGTGTGGGGAATGTCCTGATGTGTGTAAGGAATGCATTGTGTGAATCTGTGTTTGTATGTGTAAGGGCTGCAAGATGAGTTTGTGTATGTATGGGATGCAGTGTGTGCATCTGTAAGGGATGCATTGAGTGTGTGTAAGGGGTGCATTGCTGTGTGTATTGCTTGTGTACGTGTGTCTGTGTGTAATGCATTGTGTGTGATGGATGTCAATCTCTCCCCCTCCCCCCGTCAATTTCCTTCTCTCCCCCTCCCCTCCAATTTCCTTCTTCCCCCCTCCAATTTCCTTCTTCTCCCCCTCTCCTCTCAATTTCCTTCTTCTCCCCCTCCCTCTCCAATTTCCTTCTTCCCCCCTCCAATTTCCTTCTTCTCCCTCTCATTTCCTTCTCTCCCCCCTCCAATTTCCTTCCTCTCCCCTCCAATTTCCTTCCCCTCCTCCCGTCCCTCAAATTTCCTTCCTCTCCCCGTCCCTCAAATTTCCTTCCTCTCCCCCATCCCTCAAATTTCCTTCCTCTCTCCCTCCCTCAAATTTCATTCCTCTCTCCCTCCCTCAAATTTCCTTCCTCTCCCCCCTCCCTCAAATTTCCTTCCTCCCTCCCTCCCTCCCCCTCAAATTTCCTTCCTCTCCTCCCCTCAAATTTAATTCATTCATTCCTGTCCCTCCCCCTCACCATTCTCTCTCCCTCCCCTCATTCCTGTCCCCATGCCCCTCAATTTCATTCCTGTCCCCCTCAAATGTAATTCCTCTCCCCCTCCAATTTCATTTATCCCCCCTCCCATTTCATTCCTTCCCCCCTCCCATTTCATTCATATGTAACTTTGTTAACTGAGATTTTTGCTCAAATATAGAAACCCCATAGGAGCCCAAGAAGCCACCCATTAGGAAAGTTTTCTACTCTTAACCCCCCATGGTGCTTATCCACATCCCAACAACCAGGCAACAAAGCAGACATAGTGTGCGCCCAGGAGACGCACTTTGTCACAACCAAAATACCCAAGTTTGGGCTAAGGGACTACCCAACACAATACCATGCAACCCATTCCTCCAAATCCAAAGGGGTCTTCATCCTCTGCCACAACTCGCTGACAGTCGAAATCCTTACCATCAAAAACGACGGCCAGGGAAGATATCTAATACTCCACTGTGTCATAAACACCCTCCAATATGTCATTGTAGGGATATACGTCCAAACGACCACCAAAGAAACTTCCTGCACAAAGTCTTGACAAAACTACCACAAACCGCTGGCATTCCCCTGATAATCTGTGGAGACCTAAACCACACCGTAGACTCCCAAATAGACACAACAATACCACCCGACTCACACAGGCACACGACCCTCACAGCACAAAGTAAGGCACTCATAAGTCTACTCATGGAATACGGACTGTAAGATGCACTACACCCATCTGACAGGGTCTACTCATACCACTCGGCAGTACACAAGACCTATTCCAGAATTGATATCATCCTCACATCTGGAACACTTCTCCCCAACATCTCACAATGCGACATAGGAAACATAACTTGGTTCGACCACACCCCGACCACCATGACATTGAAGGACCACTACCAACACAGAGGCAAACCTTCCTGGCGCCTCAACGACACACTATTGCATGACACCCACTTCACCAAACAACTCACAGAGAACATACAAACATACTTCGAGCTCAACACCACCCCAGATATCAGTACCACCTCAACTATGCACCTGAGGAAGACCTATATGGTTGAAACGCTTTGTGCTTTTACTTTGGACATTTTTAATTACGGTATTTGTCTGCTACTATATCCTGTTTTCTGCACTTTATTGAAGTAAATCCATTTGAGAAAAACCTTTGAGTTTCCAGAATATTTGGGAGTAACAGAATTCCAGGATTCATTCCAGCAACTTTATCTGCTGATAAGCCATCACAGCTAGATCCTGCTATAAGTGGCTCTGGGAAGAGTGAATGACCCATTATTACCTCTGTGTACTTTAATATCTGTATATATACAGTATTACACTATGTACAGCTTTATATTTTACAGATAACCAGAGACAAATTGTAAGGTCCTCCTTGATATAAGTATATCACATTGTGTGGTGGTGTTTTTCATTGCGCACCCTGTACTTTGTACTTGTTTTTGCACTTTATGTAGTATATTCTGAGTGATTATTGACACTAGGGTTGCTGCATCTCTCACAATTCAATAGCACCAATCCACCCATATCTAATTGTTTTTAACTTTTGTTGTTTGTACATCAAAATACATATTTCCCACATAGGAACACCCAGGGCCGGCCTTAGGCCTTTAGGCCTCCCCCCCCCCGTCATCCATGTATGATGTAATGTTTGTGTTGTCTGTGTATGTGATAGTAGGTGTGATGACTGTGTGTGATATTTGTAATGGGTGTATTAACAGTGTGTGATATGCGTGTATTGGCTGTGTGTGATGGTTATTTAATTCAGATAAAAACATGCATTTAAGCCTGTGTGTGAAGCAGGTGTATATTTTTACAGAGTTATGTGCACACAGTCAGATGAACACAGTTATACATATACACTGTCAAATCCACCACATGCACACAGTCGCAGGCAGATAGTCACATACACAGGATCAGGCAGAAACACACAGGTACACACATACACAGTTACAGGTAGATAAACACACTCACACACAATTACAGGCAGACAGCCACACACACACACAGGCAGCCACACATACAGTTTTACACACACACACACAGGCAGACAGTCACACACACAAACACACACATACACACACACAGGCAGACAGTCATACACACAGGCAGACAGTCATACACACAGACACACACACAGGCAGGCAGTCATACACACACACCCACACACAGGCAGGCAGTCATACACACACACCCACACAGAGGCAGACACACACAGGCAGGCAGTCACACACACAGACACACAGGCAGACAGCCACACTTATCTGTGGAGTTCATTGTGGAGGCAGTGCAGCTCCTGGAGACTGTTTGTTGGGGAAGCAGGGACTCCTTCCTGCTTCCCCTGCAGGAGTTATCCGGCACTTTTAGCTCTGCCCCTGCAGCATGGTAAGCTCCGCCCCACCACAAATCTTTTTTTTACATTACGGCCGGCCATGTGTGAGCTGTGTTGGCCGCAGGGCGCCCCCTGCTCCATGGTGCCCTGTGTGGCCGCACAGCTCACACACCCCTAAGGCCGGCCCTGGGAACACCACAGTCTATATATCCCCGGATAGTCTGGATCTGAGCACCCAACATATCCACAAAGAAAACGCTTAGACCCCACGAACACAGCCGAAACGCCACCGGGGTAAAGTTCTGACCGGCCGCCACATGGTCCTATGCCCAAAACAGTTCCAGGGCGTTTTGTGCTTTTGCTGGTCAACTTCAGGAGTGCTATGCGAAAGAAATACCGAACGCACACTCTGGCTTCTTGGTAGCATTTATCGCGTTCATACGAACAAACCTACCGAACTGCACTCTCCTGACATGTGTGGGGATGAAGCAGGCGTTCGTCAAAGTTCAGCAGTGTTCGAGAGTTTCAGTGTCCAATTTGAAATGTGATCGACGCCCAAACACTGCTATGATAGAAGTGTCAGGAGAGGTTAACAGGGATTAACAGGCACAGAGGTGGTCCGCAGTTTGTGAGTAGCTTCGGTTCCCGAACAGAATAAAAATATCCCACAAACTAAGCCTTTTTATGAGCCGGTTCCATGGCTCATAGTCCTGAGGCAGGAGTCTGGCTAGCAGGCTCTTCCAGGAGCTTGTGGCGAACAATCAGACCAAAAGGCGTTCATCACAGATGCTGTTAAAAAAGTGTATTTTTTCTACCCAAAATGAAATCCTGAAATCCTAAATACGTGGATCAAGTTCACAAATAAAATAGATGTCACTAGCCAAAGCTCTGTACTTTCAGTCCACATTTGTGGCTTTAATACCAGTTTTAAAACATGGAACCAAACAAATCTTTGGCTATTTTTCGGTGGAGTCTAATGAGAGGAATAGACAGCCAGTGGTCCCTAGTTAATGGAGACCACAAGCAGGACAGAACACGTGTCCAGAGCAGTGTTTCACCAATTAATTTCTGAGTCTAACCACAGTTCTTACCTATGTTAGTTTAGATCAGGGGAGTCCAAACTTTTTTCAAAGAAGGCCAGACTTGATGAAGTGAACATGCGTGAGGGCCAACCATTTTGCCTGACATTCTTTGAACCATTAAAACTGAATGCAAAATAACTATTTTATGCGAAGTTTATTGCAGACGGCATACTTTTCATTTCATCTCTTTATTCTGTCTCAAATCTCTTGATTCTGTCTCAAATCTCTTTCTGTCTCAGATCTCTTTATTCTGTCTCTTATCTCTTTATGCTGTCCCTTGTCTCTTTATTCTGTCCCTT